ACAACCAAAAATGTTGATTGTGGAGTCAAGTAAACTAAAGCTGTTAACAATCTCAATCTCTATCTATCATGACGCTGCCAACTGACCCAGTGGTGAGATGTTGAGCTTTAATTAATCTATATTGAAGGCTTCAGTCCTTGACCTTCTGCAGCAAGCGTGTCAGGTCCTCCTCAGTTTCAGCAAGCAAGGTTGTGTCATCTGCATAATACAGATTGTTGATAAGTCTTCTGCCAGTCCTGATGCTACATTTCTCCTCACAGAGCCCAGCCACCCAGACAGTCTGTTCTGCATATAGATTGAAAAGGTATGGAGATAGGACTCATCCCTAGCATAAACCCTTCCCAATTTTGAACTATGCAGTATTCCCTTTCTCTGTTCTGATGACTGCTTTCTGTTTCAAGCACAGGTTTTCATAAGCAAAATCACGTGTTCTGGGATTCCCATTCTTCTCAGAGTCAGCCACAATTTGTTGTGATCCACACAGTCAAATGCCTTTGCATAGTTAATGAAACACAGACAGACATTCCTCTGGTACTCCCTGCTTTCAGCCAAGATCCATCTAACATTAGCTGTAATACCCCTAGAGTACCACAGCCTCTTCCTCTTCCACAGCATCCTGCCTCCCCTGCACCTTGTTCTCCAAAGTTTGGTACCATATGATAGACCTGCTAAATATATAAAACCACTGTTAACAGAACTTCTCACTAGTCCTGACACAACAACCCCCATCACCCCAATTATTGCATCAATCCATCTCATCCAGGGTCTTCTTCTTGTGCGCTGTCTGTCCTTTAGAAGCAGCTATTCGTTGGAAATGGACAATATGCTTTAAAAACTGAAGAGCCAGCAAAGGAGTGTCTGCGGCAATAGGCTCAAAGGTGTCAGGGATGATAAGGATGGTGCGGTATAGCACAGGATTCAGATCTGTGGAACACAGGGTTACTAGGAGTTGTACTTGACTCTATGATACCTAACAACAACAACAACATTATAAAAAGAAGGTTCATTGTAGGTACTGTATATTAAAATACAATGTGTCCCTATAAATAAAAATAGAAAACAATTTTGCTTATTAATGCAACTCATGGTTAATTGACACAAAGTAGTTTACATTAGGTAGTTGAGTGAAGCAGTACCACATAATAGAATGGATAGTTAAAAGTACGGTTCTGCAGTTAGATTGCCTGGGCTCATATTCCTTAGTTTCACACAGCTAAAATACTTTAGTTGTATGTCCTTAGGCAAATTACTTAATCTCTTTTAGTCATAGTTTCTTCATCTATAAAATAGAAATAATAATAGTTGCTACCTCAAGGAATACCAGAGGAATGTCTATCTGTGTTTCATTGACTATGCAAAGGCATTTGACTGTGTGGATCACAACAAATTGTGGCTGACTCTGAGAAGAATGG